GACCCATACAGTGACTCTGTTGCAGCCAGACTGTATGGACATCTGTGAGTGATGAAGACATAAGCTTTAAATTGAGATGGGATGTAAAGTGTAACTAATCCCAAAGCTCCTCTATTGATCGCTTTCAGAGCTAAGTGGCTCCAAAAGCTTGTATGACATCATTTTACCATTAGAAAACATAATGGCTTTTCCTGAGCATGTACTTCTTTTTTATCAGACAATGCTGCATTCGTTTTGTTTTTCCAAAAAGATGGATGCTGTTTTCTATTAGATCATGCAATTTAGAATAACAACGCAGAATTTAAAAACACCAGTGACTTGAATAAAGTGATGTGACTTAGAATTTTAATACTGATCCTGAAAGTCCATTCTGGTAATCTAATAGCAAAAATAATTGTGTATGTTCAAATATTTTTCAGATTGCATTATTAGTTAACCTCTTCATATTTTCCAGTTTTGCTGCACGTATATCAGCATCTATATCCAACTGAAAACATGCACACTAGGTTGCAGTCTCCATCTTAAGTAGTCCTGACCAAGATCTGATCAAATAGTTACAACCAACATATTGTGCAATGCTGATTAGGGAGCCCCTGCAATCTATGAGTTTAGCGTTTGAAGAGTCATTGAAAGTCACTAGACGTTTCTGTTTAGTAATTGTGTGCCCAAACACATCAATCAGCTTTTGTTACTTCTCAGACCAGTCCTTTTTGCCCTCAGAGTGGTGCTTGTGGAAAGTGTCTGCTTGAGTTTGTATTCATTTGTGTGTCCCTGTGTGTGTGCATACAGATGAAGTGCAGTGGATCATAGAGGCACTAGGCCTGTCTGCAGAGAGCACGACCTCTCTGATGCTCTGTCACAGCCTGGTTAGACTAGGGCACAAGGTGAATCCTGTCTGGTACAAGTGGCTTATTATCATGCCACAGAAATACAATGACTTGAGGCAATGAAAGGCATATGCTGAATATCAATACATTTAACTGCACTGGGAATAGGGTGTCACATTTACCGCTTGGTGTTCGGTGACTGGAACCATTTATTTACTGAGTGTTTTAAAGCAAATTACATGGTTGCATTACGTTTTATAGTTAACGTATTGGTCAAGGCAGCTGCCTGTGACTCACAGTTTATGTGCTTTATAACATTAACTCCAATTAAATATATTGTGAATCTCCCACGGGGCTTGGTTTTATTACCAAGTGTTAATTACGACATGAGTTGCATTCGTCTGTGAGAGAAAATATATGGGGAAAGAATAGCTTGTGTAACAGGCTGACGTAATGGTGCTTCTCGGTTGTGAAGTTGTCACATGTTTATCAGCATTCTGTCATGGCAGTCCATTTTTTCCAAACACATTCAAGGGAGTGACCTCCTGTTAGTGGATTACCTTGAGGCTATTTATAGTCTGATAAACCCACTTTTAACTGTGTCTGTCTATTGTGGCAGCACTTGTGGCAGGCTGTTCTCTCAGGGGAGGAGCTGTCTCCAGGATGTTTCCACAGGGAACACAAAAGGTGTGCACTGCTCTATTTCAAACATCATTTACTTGAGGCCCAAGCTGGTGTTGACACAGATTCAAAGTTTACTTTTTTGTTGAGTTACCAAAGGAGTGCAACACAACATGCTATGTTTCTGTATTCAGTCTGTCTTACCTTGAATAACTAAACTAAAAGTAAACACTAATTATTTTAGAATTAGTGCTTTCAACAAATATGGGCCTAATGGACAGTAAACATTTCACAATAGAGCAATTTTTATTATTTTTTTTTAAATCATATCTATTGCCCTAACTAGCACAAACAAACAGAACTAATAGTTATAATTAATTGGTATATTGGTTACATTTGGTTACATTTTTGAGATATTTGATGATAATACTTTTGTTCAGAAAAAGTAGGGTTCAGTTTTAAACTTTGAAAATCAAACTATTTCCAAGATGTTGAGAAAGTGACACAATTTGGATGTGGGTTCTTTAAGTGTAAGAGTTGTGGTGTTCTAGACCTCGTGTCTTTGTGACTTCTGCTCCTGGTTGTTTAATTCTTACTTATAGTGTTACCTGATGGTTATATTTTGAATGTGTCACAAAAGTTGGAAAAAAGCTTTGATCCGTGCACCTGTCAGAGATACTGTACTTGAAATCCCTGAGCTTTTGGGCTTTTTTGGCAAGTTGTGCTTCTCAGGCTGCAGCGATCAGCCTAACAGGACAAGAATTATAGCAACAAGGAGACAATTTTCAGAAAGAGAAGACAGAAGAGACAGCTGCCTGGAGCTCTCCTGGCATTCACAGCCCATAAAGATACATCTAATAAAGTACTGTGCCTTATTGCCTAGGTGGCTGTTTCCCTCCAAAACACAGGTCTGGGCCTCATAAAATGGAAATATATGGTATGTGGGTCTGGTGTGTATCCAGCCCAAAGAGCTTGTGATTTAATCAGTGGAGCGCTGGTTTACATAGGCATTTTATGAAGAGATAACAGTATGTGGGACCATAGTTTCACGAAGAAAAAGACCTTAGAGACAATAAAACTCAGAGTGACTTTAATTGTCCATATGGTACTGTTAAATATGCAAAGCTACTGTTGCACAGAAGGGGAAATGTCTTATTTTTACTGTAAATATCCCAGATGGAGCATCAAGTTAAATGCTAGAAAAACACAAGTATTGCATAGAGACCAATATAAAAGAGTGGAGCAGGTTCCACAAGAACAATGCAATAGTCCTACAAAGTACTTGTTTTAGATTTACCAATTATAAAGTCATAATCATGAATTTAAGCTGATGGGTAGGCAACATTTTGACAGTTCAAAAATAGACTAATTTGTTTGACACTGAAATTTAAACGGCAGCTTTCAGTGAAGATGGTTGTCTCTGCTGAGCTTATTATTGAGCATAAGTCTCCAAGCATGATCTTTAATTGATTAGTAAATAGATATGTTATCACTGGAATTAGCCTAACCCTAATAAAACTAATGAATAAAAAACATTCAGAAGTAACTAAATCTCATTCAGACAATTATGGTGTTATTAGTGACTGAAAGAAATAAATCTGTTTCAAAATAAAAGCATTGTTTACAGAGAGTTACAAATGTACAAAATAAAATTGAATTGTCTCAGTGGGCTGTGATCCGTTGCTGAAGCTGTCTCTGTTATCTTATCACTAGAGTGTAGTAGCCGAGACAGTGTGCTCTGTATTGTTTGGGTCAACAGCTTGAATCGGGTCAGTGCCTCTGGATAACAGGGTTTGAAGGTTCCTGTCTCTGTGTTTCAAAATAATATGCAAATAAGACCTTTCCGGGCCGCTACAGTAGCTGAGCTGCAGAAGAAGAAATCAGCCTCTATAATGATAACAGTCTCTGTTTGGACTGGCTCAAATATACAATTCTGACATTTTCTCAAGAGTGAATGTATCTGCAAACTGTGTGGCACAAGTTTAATGGGAGGGTAATGCCTACGCACTTACAGGTTGAAAAAATGAACTACAATCACAGCTGAACCTGAAATGCCAGTACCTTAAGTACAATTTTTCTCACTCTCAGTATATCAACAGGCCATGCCTCGTGTGAAAACTCAGAACCTCCAGAATTCAGCCACTGAGCTGCAGAAGCTGCACTAGCACTGATATAGGTTTAAACCAACTGGATTTAGTTGTAAGAACTACAACCCAGGATGTGTGAGGCTCATTATGCCTGAGCGCCAGAGAAGAAGGGCCTATTAGTATAACAAATCGATGCTCCTAGTAGGCGGGAAGTGGAATGACGCGACGTGACTCTCCCTAAACAGTTTGTATAGAACAATAACATTTTATTTGTCTTAGTTATACAAAATTTGGTGTGCACATTTGTGACATTGTCTCCATTAAAAAACTCAATGACCCCCACACCCCATTTACAGTGTGTTGCCATGGCGACAAGCCAAAAATTTGCCCTTGCCAATTGGACATCCTTACACAAACTTTGCCGTAGCCAAACCAAATTTGGTAGCCAGATGCATTATGGCAATAGGAACAAAAATTTATATTGTGACCATGCCCCTTTATATATAATATAATAACAAAGAGAAAAAATATAAATGGTCAACAAATTTTAAATAAGTAACAAAAAATATTGTAAGATACAGGTGTCAAATAAGGCATAATTATATAAATGTATAAGTACAAGTTAAAATAAAATAGAAAAATAAGTAATAAAAATATTATTATGATTATATATTATTTATGTTTTTAAAGGCCCCATAATACTCTATTTTCTGATATGTGTTATAATGTAGTTTCCTCATAAACAGACCTGAAGTTGTGTTTTATTTTATTCACACATGTTTAACACACAAACCCTGCATATTTAGTTCATCTCTCCACCTTGTGATGTCATCAAGTGGTAATACAGGAAGTACACTGTGTTTTTAAACTAAACAAGAATCATTTGGATCATTTCAGACCTGCAATTGCCAGTCTGCTGAACAAAACCTAAAAGATAGCTGTTAAATATCATTACATGACATCACAAGGTGGAACAGATCATTTGGAGCTTGGGAGATGTAGACAGACTAATAATAAAAGATTACCATAATCAGACATGTGTGAATGAAACAAAACAGAACTCCAGGTCCATTTTTCAGGAGGTTACAACATTATAACATGCCTTAAAGCTCACATGAATCAATTTTGTGCAATATAAGACCTTTAATCATTCATTACCCATTTCCCCTCCACCCTTGTGCTGAAAAAACTTAATAATGTGAAAAACATGACAAAAAAGTTTGGAAAAAAGGATTTAAAGATGTACACATAAATATGTAAGCAAATGAGCTAAAGAAAATTCATGAAAAAGGGTGAATATTGAGTGAAATCTAAGTTCTTTCAGTTATATTACTTCTGTTTACCTATTGTTTTACAGAATATATATATTTATGTTTTTCTTTCTTTGGGTTCCCTGGGTTTGATCACATATAGATGCTTAATTGTTCTAATTTCTTTTTAATAAACCTACTCTCCATCTGTTCATATGTATGAAGGACAGACAGAAAATCACATTCCAAGGAGGGGCGACCAAGAGCCTGGACTGGAACCTGGAGACGTGATCATAGTTTTGGATCAGAAGGTCCATCCCATGTACCAGAGACAGGGAGATGACCTGATCACAAAGATGGACGTCAAACTGGTGAAAGCTCTGTGCAGATTCAGAAAAACTGTAACAACACTGGACCACAGGACTTTTGTCATCACCTCCTCACTTGGTAACTGAATCATGGTCGATTTAAAGATGCATTGCGTAATTTTTCTCATGGATGGTCTACCACCTCTCTGTTTCCATGGAGAAGTCTTTGCCTTGGCTGGAATTTTCTACAGCATGGCACTGAAGCTGTATTGTGTAACTTTTCTGGTGGAGGGTCCATCAAATGCTTTTCTCCATGGAGATGTTCTTGCTTTGTCTGGAATGTTTCACATTATGGCATTAAACCTTTCTATCTTCATGGAGACCAAACCGGACCAAGTTACAGATCAGATCTGTGGAGAGGCGACCCTGCTCACAATCTGAATGCCTGTTTTTCTAAGTATTTTTGAGCTATAAAACCACCTGTAATTGAATCAATGTAAAGTAAAGTTTAATGCCATACTGTGGAACATTCCACACAAAGCAATGACATCTCCATAGAAATCAGCAGGTGACGGACCCCAACCCAAAAGTTACACAGTGCACCTTTTAAACATATAAATTTCCAAAGAAACAACCACATGATGCAACAAGGCCAAGGTAAAGGCCAGATCTGTGGAGAGGCTCCATCGCTGACAATGAGAATGCCTGTTTTTAAAGTATTTTTGAACAATAAAAATACTATAATGGACTTATCATAAGATTCATACATTTTATGGCATACTGTGGAACATTCCAGTCAAGGCAGTAACAGCTCCACAGAGACAAAGTTATACAGTGCACCTTTTAAAATGTCAGTCTTGTAAATTCTTAAATTACCAATGGTTTGTTTTGTTAACAGGATAAGTCATCAAACCCAATGACACCAAATGCATCTAGAATGAAGGAATGAGGATTTACACGAACCCTTTAGATTTAGACGAGTAGAGTTTTTCTCTCAAACTGAAAACACACTATTCCACCTTCTGATGTCATGTGGCAATGCGGGAAGTGCTTCACTGTGTTTTTAAACTCCATACACTTTCACTAGAATTTTTTGTATGATTTCAACCGTGGAATTGCCCCTCTCTTTTGAACTAAAGGCAAAAGGAGCTGTTAACCTGAGAATTACTGCTTTATGACATCACAAGGTAGAAAAGAGCACTTTGAGCTTGTAGACGGACCAATAATAAAGGGGAATTCAGACATGTGAATGCAACAAAACACAACTTCAAATCTGTTTTTGAGGAGGTAGCAACATTCTATCATGACTAAATGCTCACAAGATTTCAAATATAGAACTTTATTTACGCCCAATTAACCTTCTCAAACTACAACACCTAATACATTATTGATAGTAATTTTGTCTACATCTTCTCAATGACAGACAGCAATATAAGCCTGCCATGTCCTATTGTCATCTGAGTAGCAGTGTTCTAAATTGTGCTTTTGTTTAGAGACAGAATTCCCAGAGAAAGACCCTGAACACCTCATGTACCAGTTGGAGAGACTGCTACCTTCCAGAGAAGATGTGATGCTGATGGACGACATGGAGGAAGTGGACCTGGAGGAGGGGGATGTCCAGGCCAGGCAGAGGAAGCACCAGAGAGAGGTCTACCAGGAGGATGAAGATGCTCCACGATCAGGAGTCCAGTGCCAGACCTAATGAACCGCTCCTCTGCCCAAACTCAAAATGCCTGCCAGAGTTTTGCATTCTTCATTTGAGGCTTGGACTCAAAAAACGCCAAAATCTGTCACACTGTAAATGTTTGTAACATCTTTATTTGTGTTTTTGTCAGATTATACTTTCTGTGAAGGTAATTTCATATTTTTGTTAATAAAACGCACAATATTTGCAAATGTGGTCTTCATCTATCATCTCTTCTCAGTATAGAACTAAAATTAAACCTATTAGGAGTTTTTACATGGTTGTAGCTGAATATTAGTGGGAGTCAGTTACTAGTGGTACTAAATATGTAACTCCGCTTGTCTCCATGGCGATGTTAATACTATGCCTGGAACGTTCAGCACCTTTACTTCCTCTTTATGTTAGTTGTGATGACTCCTTGGCAGTAAAATAGAAAACTTGACTCTTTCACCACTTTTATTTCTGTTCTCATTGCAGATCTAAACTGTTTTTTTCCTAAACTTTTAAACAAGTCTTTACAGGTCCCAGAGGCTACTGTTTGTGGTGAGTGTTTGCATGCACTTATTAACGTACTAACCTTACAAAAGCACAGGCGGTGGGTCTAATCCAGCTACAGAGGGCGCTGTGTCCCTCTGTGCCAGTCCCCAGCCTGGACAAATGGATAGGGTTGCTTTAGCTTAAAACCTGCCGCCTTTGTCGTGATCACACAAGTTTGAGTAACCCTTTATTATTAGCCTGTCTACATCTTCAAAGCTCAATGCTCTGTTCCACCTTGTGATGTCATGTAGTGGTGGTTTTAGAGTTAACTGCTACTTTTTTGTCTTAAATTTAGTCAGAGATTGACAGTTCCAGGACAGAAGAAGAACTCAGCCTAAATATGATTGGTTTATGTGTGAATGAAATAATAACAAAAAAATCTAAACAAAAAACTGTCCATGTACATTTTTGATGAGGACATAGGATTATAGCATAGATCATAAAATGGCCTAATATGTGCCCTTTAAATGGAACAGGAGTTTGAAGTCCACCTTGTCTTTGTCCAAGAATCTTGCTTATAACCTTTTTATATTTGTAGATTTGAGACCATATTGAACAGTAAAGTTACTGTAGTTGATTGTAATGGTGTAATTTAGAGAATATACACACTGAGGCCATGGTCCTTTTCATCTAGCTCCACCTCCTGTCTCTTCTTGGCACAGTGCTTAAACAATCGGCTCTGGAGGATGTACAGGTGACTGTGACAGGTCGTGGAACGTCATGATGAGCTGGTATCTCTGGAACTTCCACACCTGATTTGAGATGGACTTCACCTCAAAGAATGTCTTGCTGTGGGAAATAGAAAGTTCACAATTAATAAAACAGAACTCTAAATAGAAATTTTACTGTAAATATCCTGTGTCTCTGGAGGCCAACAAACACTTTGTATAAAGTGCCTTTCATTGATAATATCTTTTCAATGAATGAATAACCTCTAAACCAGGTTTTTACCAACATTATGATACAAAATAAGTTTCAAGTGCTGTTGGAATAAGGAATACCTTGACACAAATGTTAACATTTTTATTGATATTGGGAATTAATATCTATGTTCTTATTCAGCGTAGGTAACATAAGAGGACTGCACTCACTTGAACAGCAATAAGCAGATTGACGAGTAGGATGCTGGCTGTCAGCAGGTAACAGGCCATGATGGCTGGAGTGAGCCCGACCCCAGAGATACAAGGAGGCAGCTTCTTCCCATCTTTGTCATACAGGTGCTCACCACAAGGAGCTGCAAGAGGACAGTATGTTTTTGTGTCAGTCATGGCTCTCTCGCTCTCCCTCTGGCTCATTGGCATCCCCAAAAGAACTGAAAATTGTGTTGTCATGGCGACAAGCCAAAAATCTGTCCTTGCCAATGGGACATCCTTACACCACATTTGGTGTAGCCAAACCATATTTGCCAGATGCATCATGGCAATAGGAAAAAATATATATATTGTGACCATGGCTCTTTACAAACCGGAAGCCTACCATCTTTGATTTTTTTTTTTTAATTAACACTTGCCAAAATTTACAAAAATGGCAGGGTTAGGTTACGAGCTATTGTTAGGGTATGGGTTGGGGTTGGGCCTATGGTTAGGGTTACAACTAGGGTTAGCTTTAAGCTTAGGGTTACATTTGGGGTTAGGCCTAGCATTAGTGTTGGGACAAGGGGTTAGATTTGTTGTTGGGGTTTTTGGTTATTTTGTAGTGCAGGGCATTTGCGATGCTTCGCGTGGATGCTCGTGAGGGCCGATCATTGCGGCATTGCTGCTTTCTGATTGAATAATGAACTTTAGAACAAAACACCAACTGACAAGATAATTACAAAATATTGGACATGATGGCCAAGTTATTTAAGAGTTACAATGAATAAAACAGGTAAAACATGCCATATTTTAAAGAAACTCAGTTTCTTTAAAATACGATATGTAACTTTAGATATTTTTTTACCATGTGAAAAATTATAGCCAGAGAAACAAAATTTCTGTGGAAACAAACAGGAGGTGGTCCTCTTTCAGGCCAAATCGGGTGGTCGAGATGTAAGCCCACAAGAGTTTTTCATGTGGCTTACATTGAAACTATACAAAGCTAAACAAAATTTTTTCTAAATCATTTCAGGGCATAATTTGCCTGTGGACAACTCATATGGACTTAAAAGCCTTTGTAGCTAATGAATGACACAGACTTTAAACTTGTGAAATCTACTTACTTGGCTTGACTTGGCTGCCTTTTATGAGCTGATGTTGACTTGTTTTTGAGAAGTCTGGTAAGTTAACTCTACGGTGGCACAACTGGTCCAAAATATACAGACTACCACCTTTTGTCCACATATATCACTTTACTGCTGTACTATCCTTTTTTGTATATTTGAAGACCACAGACTGTAGAAAATGGGCGAAGATATTGCTGCCTAATTGAGCACAACCCTTTTGCTCACCTGTCTTCACTGCCACACGGATGAAGACTGCAGCTCGTGCTCTCGGTGTAATGAGGCCATGGTTATGGCTTCCAGTGGCGAGTCATCAACCACTAAGCGCTCTGGACATCCTGCCTCCGCCATTACCGCCACACATCTGTCATCTTCAGGAGGTACTCATCCCTTTGAAAACACCCCTTCTATGGAGTCTCTAGGCTATGTGCATCAAGGAAATTACTTATCATCCACACTTCCCTGCCTGTCAAATATTGTCAGTCTAGCCCTGTTTTTCTCTTTCTCTCTCTCTTTCCCTCTGTACCTTTTGGAACATAAAACGAAGATGAGGAGGCTATTGTCTTGTGATAATTTCCCTGGAGAAGCCCATTGAGTGTCAGTGAGCTGTGTCTAATTTGTCTGAGAAGGTGTTAGTGAACTACTGGAGAATGCAGCGTGCTCATGTTTAGTGGCATGTGTAATCTCGCCATGGATTCATCAACATCTGCGCTTTTCTACCAATACAAGCATTGTTTCGTGTGTGAATGCCAAATTACCTGTGTCTGCAAAGTCTGAGAGCGTTGTTAATGATGGCTATTATGCACCTGGCTTGTGAATAAATGCTTTGGCATGGTCTATGAAGACAGGACTGTGAGACCCCAGAGAGATGGGAGAGTTACTTTAGTTTTGAGCTGACTGTGCTGGTTTGCATGGTCAGAGTGCTACAAATCAACATCATAGTCAACATCAGTAATGATGTTTTAGATTCTGCACACTGGTCAAGTGGCCTAGACTCTGCAGAGCGCCTCAATGCCATGAGATTATGGCAATCAAATTGTCATTCTCTGATGATATTTTGATGAAAAAGGTATATCATGATTCAGTAGCTTTTTTGTTGAATGGAACTCAATAATCAAACATGCCCACACTCTTCCTATTGGTCAGTCTTGTTGATGCTGAATGAGTGATGTGTGGACTCTCAGAAGCGGCAGATGCCTTTAAAATGGTAGCATGAATCATAATGGAATTGAAATTGTAATCATATTCTCTAAAAAAAAAAGAAGAATTACAGCCGCCACATACTACTGGATTTTTCGGTCTTAAACGATTGTTAAAGGTGCGACAAAAAGCACAGACCACAGACACGAGGAGAATCTTATGAGATTTTAGATCTCCAATTGCAAAGACTGCTGTGGGATATGGCTGCAGACCACAGGCTATAAAGTTGTGAGCTTGATCGTGTCAGCTGTTTCCTGCAATAAAACCACTCGCTTTGAGACTCTTCAGGATTCAAAAGATCAGAGGACTGGACTAGTTTAGATGAGTCAAAACTGTTATTTGTAAAATGTGATACAATACTTCATATACATCATTTTTAATGCACTATTGCTAATCTGCAGCTTCACCCCAATCTGCACACTGTACAGTGCTGTTTTGTGGACCCAGTGTCAGTATGTGCAGAGGAGAAATTCTATGGATAATGTGGATGGGATACTGCACTCAAAGTTGTAAATATAATTATTTTCACTATTTCCTGAGTTTGTATGTTGCGCCTCTATGTTTTATTGGCTGTTACTGTAGCATTGCTGATGTTTGGTGATTATGATCTCATGCGAAGACTCAAAGTCAGGTCACGCCTCCCCAAACTCAGGGAGAAGCAAATTGCAGCCAAACCGGGTAAATTCTCCTGTAGTGTGTGGCGGCCTTTAGACATAATTGAGATTCCCAACTCTGGCAGTCTGGTCAACCAAAATTTAAATAATACTTCCCATTCAAAAACATCTCTTTCCTTTCATTGTCTTAAAGCTAACTACAGTTATATTCACCACTAGATGTGATCTTGGTTGATGTTGCTCGACAGTATCGCAGCTTTGGCCTGATAGAAGACCTGAGACTACAGGTGTGCCTGAACAAAGGCCAAGTGAGGGAAAAATGCATGTTTTTCAATGTATTTTGGGTAAATAAAAATATGCATTATTGAATAAGTGTAAGATATGAATTTAATGCAATACTGTAGAACATTCCATTTCCATGGAGGCAAGCAAGTGGCAACCGACAACCAAAAAAGTTATAGTGCACATTT